TTGATGCTAACTGGTATCGCTACCTTATGCGATTCGTGTTGCTATTCTCATATATCATTCCAATCTCGCTGCGAGTCAATCTTGACATGGCCAAGGTGATGAATTAATTTGCCGTTTGATTACAATTCTTGGTGCAAGACTTCCAAAGTATTTTTGAACACCATTTAAACTATCTTCTAATCACTAATGTCTATCAATTGCATTGTCAATATTTTTTTCGATATATCCTCCTCATCGAGTTTGAAAGATAAGAATTGGATTTGAGTTGAAGTTATGGAAAGCTTGGCGATTAAATTAGGGGCCATGATACGTATTCGCAGATTTGAAGTATGTTCTAAATATGGATGACAAAACACAAAAGCTTGCTCAACCTTTTAAGTTTTCCATAGTTGCAACGCTAAATTGAAAGGATGAGTGTCCTGTTCAGTTGTAGAGCGTCGAAATTGATCATTTTGTATGTGTACAGTATTTCATGTTGAGGTTTTTTCAGCTATTCTACGCTTGGCAAATTGGACGTGATAAGCAAATACCTGAAACTGTAGTACGTTCTTCAACTATACCAGAAGAACTCGGTAGAATTTCTTTTCTCCTTTCTGATAAGACTGGAACGTTGACGAAGAATGAGATGCATTTCAAAAAGGTAAATAGTTTTTTGGTTGTCTTGTTAACAGTTTATTTTGTTTCATTTAGATACACTTGGGCACGGTAGCGTTTGGTTCGGATGCCTTTGAGGAAGTGGCACATCACGTCGCCACCGCTTATTCGGGTCGGCTTGCAAGGTATGTGTTCTTCTCATAAATCTGTCAGAAGTATTTTTTCTTCTATTTGTACCTCTTCTTTCCGTTATTCAATTTATTTATAGGCATTCGTTCTCCGCTAAACTGCAAACTGCTGTAGAAGCTATAGCTCTTTGCCATAACGTTACTCCCATAGTCGAAAATGGAACGGTATCCTACCAAGCTGCCAGCCCAGATGAAGTAGGTCTTGTAATCCTATTTGCTTGCGTAACTTATAGTGCATGCGCTGCAATGGATTTCTCAACTGAATTTCTTTCAGGTTGCCCTCGTCAAGTGGACAGAAACTGTCGGTGTACGATTGGCTCAACGAGACTTGCATTCCATACAGCTTCAACTGGGTATTGGTCAAACAAAGGTTTTCCAAGTATGTTTTTGTATTTAAATGTATTTTTATGTATTTATGTATTTTTTATCTGTAAACTTGATCTTTATCTTTTTTTGAAGATCTAATCTTGAACTTGTTGTCCATATCCCTGGTTGTTTTGTTGTTGTAGTTTTTTCCT